GAGTCTGTCTGAGTCATTCTCTAGTTCTGGTCTACAATGTGAAGTTTGCCAATTATCAAAGCAATATATAACCACATATTTTGCAAATAACAAGAGAAGTAATGTTGCTTTTCATTTAACACATACTGATGTTTGGGGACCTTATTTTTTCCATGTATGGGGTGGTTATAAATTTTTCATTCACTTTGTTGATAACTATTCATGACATACCTTGTTGTAGTCGATGAAGAGGTGAGATGAAGTTCATTCAGTTGAAGTTTTCAGGGGATTGTTATTCTAGATGCATGTTCAAATTCAATTTTGGGGCGGATGCTGCACAAACAACTATATATCTTATTAAACGACTTCCTTTACAGACCCTTCATCTCTAATCTCCTCATCAACTTCTTTTTCCTGAGGAGGATACCTTCCATCTTCCTCTTATGGTCTTTGGGTGTGTCTGTTTCATCCCTGACATGAGTCCTTCTATGTTGAAATTTGATCCAAAGTCTATTAAGTGTGTTTTATTGGGATAATATTCAATGCAAAAGGGGTACCACTGTTATGGCCGTTGCTTTAGAAAAATGTATCTGTCCAAAGATGTTACATTCTTTGAGTCTACTCATTTCTCCTCTTTTGTCCTTCTCCTCCAGGGGAGAATGTTTGTGAAGATCGGACTTCGTTTTGTATGTCTATTCCTTCTCCGGCTATAACTAGTATTGTTAATCATTCTCCTTTTCCTCCTCCTCCTCCCTATGGTTGTACTAATACTCCTCTTGTGCCTCCTTCTATACCTTGGTCTTGGCACAGGTGGTTCGACAAATGGAAAAAGATGATGACTCTAGTGATAGAATGTCCATTACAATCTAACTTCTCAGACTTGGGTAATTTGGATTGTGAACCTATTTTATTTCTAATACTTGTGTTGAACTTGTTACAGAGCCTCATAGTCTAGTTTTTTACCTTAACCTTCCTATTGTGGTTCATAAAGCAAAAAAAGACTTGTCCTAAATATTCTATTTCAAATTTTATCCCTCAGAGTGTTACTAAGGCAGTATAATTCCCTTATTGAAAGGATGTTATGAATTAGTAAATGGAGGCGCTTAAGAAGAATTAGACATGAGTAATTGTTTCTTTTGAGTGGGCAATGTTCTTGTTGGATTAGGTGGGTTTACACATTGAAACATAAAGCTAATGGCTCAATTGAATGGTATAAAGTTCGAAATTTGGCGAAAAGGTACACTTAGTCTTACGACATTGATTACCTAGAAACATTTGTTCCATTAGCCAATATGAATTCAGTTCAAGTTATCCTGTCTTTTGCCGGTCACTATTTTTTGCCCCTGTATCAAGTGGATGTTAAGAATGCCTTCTTTAAGAGCGACTTTTTGGAGGAAGTTTACGTTTAACTCCCGTTGGAATGAACATCCCTGGGAGTGAAGGGAAGGTTTGTCACTTGAAGAAATCCCTTTATGGCCTTAAAGAATCTTTAGAGCTTGGTTTGACAAATTTAGAAAATCTATCTTATAATTTCCCATATCTTAATCTCAAGTTGATATACCTTGTTTATTAAGAGAGCAAATAAAAATGTGATTATGTTGATAATATATGTTAATGACATTGTTGCCAGAAGGGATGATATCCATGGAATTGTTGAAGTCAATTATTTTCTTTTTATTAAATATGAAATTAAAGATCTTGGAAATCTTTGATATATCTTGGGGAATGAGGTTGCAAGGTCAAAAGAAGGCATTTATATTTCTCAGAGAAAATATATCCTTGATCTACATCGGGAAGTAGGGAAATGGGATTGCAAACCAATTGAAACTCCAATTCATCCAAATCATAAATTGGGAATTGATGCTGGAGATGTCCTTATTGACATAGCTATGTATCAAAAAATTGTCAGTGTAGTCAACCAATATATGTTTGAGTATACTAGATATATCGTATGGTGTGAGTGTGCTCAACCAATATATGCACAAGTCTATATCATCTCATTTGTACGAAGTGAATAGAATATTTGCTTATTTGAAGGGATGTTCAGGAACAATCATGGACATCAAAAGGTAGAGGCCTATTTTAATACTAACTAGGCAAGTTTTTTTATTGATAGGTAGTCTACTTTTTGCTATTGTACCTTGGTGGATGGTAATGTTGTATCTTGGGAAAATAAGAAACAATCAGTTGTGGTTAGACCTAATTTAGAGGTAGAGTACAAAGCTATGGATCATAGAGTTTTCAATTTGTTATGACTGAAGAACTTGTTGACAGAAATGGGAGTGCAGATTTATACTTCAATGATGTTATATTGTGACAATCAAGCTGCCATAAACATTGCCCAAAATGATTTCAACATGATCGTACAAAACATATAGAAGTTGATTAACATTTCATTAGAGAAAGTGTTGCCAGTGGAGGGATTTATTTACCTTCTGTGAGGTTAGAGGATCAATTGGCTGACTATCTTACTAAAGGTGTCTCCAAATAAAAGCTTGACAACAATTTTAACAAGTTGGGCATGGGAAATATCTATGCTCATTTTGAAAGGGAGTGTTGAGAGTGTAAGGGCCTTTATATCCTTTCATGTTTTCTTGTATTTGGGCTTCTATTCAAGGGGTTATTTGTTATTTTTTTCTATTTGTTAAGTAAAATATTTCAGGGTGTGAGCAGTAATACACCAGAGACTCTAAACAAAACCTCTTCTTTTTCTTCTTGGTTACTTTAATTAACAAATAACATTTTGTCTTGATTTTATTGAGAAACTATCTATCTATCTATCTATCTATCTATCTATCTATCTATATATATATATAACAACCTTGTTATTAGTTTCCTTGCAATAAATTTTTTTGGCAATGGCTGGAAAGATCCCACCTTTTTTTCGGATCAAAGTTGAAAAGAATTTAGGGTAGGAGATTTAGAGTACCTCTTCTGATGGAATTTGTAACGAATTGAATGAGAAAGTGGTTAAAGGTTTAAGGGTCAATTTGGTTCATAATTAGAATTGGAATGGTCTACTTCCCTGTTTGTTTGGTTTAGACTGGAATGAAAATTGAATGGGCATTCGTTCAAATGGGGAATGCTTTTCCACTCGAAATGGGAATGGTAGAATTTGAATTTTAAACTTCTATTCTCGTAAATCAAATAGACCCTAACCGATGATTATTATTTGTAGAATTCAGATCTACTACCAACCAAATACTATCAATGTCTGGAATATCCATTTACAGACGCACATTGGGAACATCTTTCTATGAATGCAAGGGAATTATTCGTAATGCGCAACTGCAACAATTTATTGGAACTGTATTGCAAGCGTCTTATTGGCAGCCATGATTTTATTTTTAGAGGATCCTACCACGATTAAAGTGGTAGGGATGCAAATGGATTAGATCATATTTGTATTATGATATATTCAAATGCCATTCATTAATATATATATGAGATCTAATCTGATTCGAAGATTTGATCAAATCTCACAAATGGTGATTTCAATTTGAATTTAATGCCGTCTTCAAATTAAAAAAAAAATGTTAAATTATTAAAAGAAAAAAGCCTAAAAATTTATTTATTCATCGTATATATATAAACCGAATTTGGTTGTGATCAAATCCACTTGCACCCCTAATTCAGAGTGGATCGTGAGATCTTTTAGGGCTTTTATCAGTCACGAAACTGACGACTCGCAAGGACTCTTCATATCGTCCAATCAATTACCTGTCTTTTTTGTTTTTTTGTTAGACAAAGCAACCTGTATCGTCTCTCTTTATAATGTATTATTGTTGGTAATTCAATGCTCAAGTTTGTAAATTACTGGATTACCCACTCTATGAAAACGTTCGTACCCGACCATGGCTTCAGTTGAGTGCCCAGCCCAGCGTTCTTACTCTCCCCTCCGCCGGGATCTGCTCCTCACGAATGGGCGCCTCATAGTTACATCGATCGTACATTGGGAACATCTCCAGTAAAAAATAATTAATAAATACGGGTGATGTTATCGATGCATGGTAGGATGTGGGTGTGAGGCGCCTGTGGGGCGTCAGGAGTGAGAGCAGAAACAGTCTCCGGTCCAACCAATTCTAGTATCTTCTGAAATTTAACGGCGAAATATCGCACCTGTAAATTCTTCGTATTCCCAAGAAACAAACACCAACGGAAAACGGAAGAAAGGTAAGTTTGGTGGTTGGACTGGAAAATGCGGACACAGTTCGAAAGCCTGTTTTTTACAGAGCAAAACCCAATACAAAAGCGCCACTGCAACAACCAAAACACGGACGACGAGTCGAATTCAAAGCTCCAAAGTCCAAACAGAGGAAGGACCATGGATTCTTCCAATGTTTATTGGGCTCCATTTCTTCGTTCCGTTTTCTGTAGATGCTTAGCCATTTCTGGCACTGGCAGCTTGTCTGTTGCTAAAGGCTTCCTTTTATGTATTTTTCCCCTTAAAATTAAAAATATAAACTCTATATGCATTTGTAATTTGAACATTGAAGCAGCCAAACTGACGATTCCCGAAACGCTATCTACCGTCCGTCCATGTTTGAGTATCAGATGCAGCAAGTGCTCAGGGAATTGGAATGTAGCGTTCGTTACATGGGCCAATGTAAAAGTAAAACCAATTTTGTCGTTCCCGGAAAAAAAGAACAAAAGAAAATAATAAAACTTAAAAATCAGAACAAAAAATAGACAGAGAAGAAGAGGGAGGGGACAGTAAAAAAGAAAAGAGGGAGAGAGAGAGAGAGAAGTGAACAAGGTTTGTGCTGACTCACACGTTTGACCGTCAGTGGTTGGGTCGTCGATGGGGAGCCGCGAGTTCGCTACCTGAGTTTGTTAGAACGGTGTTTTTTGGTTTAACCTTAGAAAAAATAACCGAAGTTAGTTACCATTTTTACAACAAAATTAACCGCTTAAACTAGACTAGAGAGAGAAAGATGAGACCACACCACACACACTCCTCCCACTCACGAACGACTCATAAATAATGAAGGGATCCTTCCTTCGTCTTTAATCGGGAAGATCAGAAGAAGCGTGCAGACAAGGGGGGGTGGATTTTCCTCAAGAGGAAGCAACCGTCGACGGACGGACATTTCCGGTCAATGCCGTTTGACCGGATACCTACATCCTTCGTAGATACGATAAAGCTACGGCCAACGCTTACGGTATAAAAGGTGAATAATAAATACTGGTTGTTTGTCTACTAGCGTTTCTCAACTAATTAATATAAAATTTTTATTTTATTCTTTATAAGATCGGGTCTGTTGTTGCTGTCATATCTCTCTTGGAGGAGAGCTTTTTTTTCTTCTTTCTTATATAAACACCAAGTTTCCCTGCTTCTGCTTCTCGAGTGCAGAGGATCGATATGAGAACGAGGCTCCAGTTTTTCAAGGATGAAACACCTCTCAAGAGAAAGAGGGATTTCCCCCGTGAAGAAGTGATGCTTGACCGGAAAAAGACGAGAACGGCGCTGGAAAACGTTAGAGAATCGGATTTTTTTGATGGTTTGCCTGACGACCTTATCGTCTGTATCCTCTGCAAGCTCAGCTCCACCGCTCGTTGCCCTGCCGATTTCATTAATGTTCTCATAACGTACACCTCTCTTTCTCTCTCTAACCGTTGATTTATATCGGTTCTCTTTCATTTCCTTTCTGGTAAAGAGGATTTCCTCTGGTGGTTTTCGCTTTGATTTTGTGGTTCTGCGAAAATGCAACAAAATAGTCGATTTATCGCCGAAAAGGCGATTCCGATATCGAACATTAGTCGGAAATATTCTGTTTTCAGTTGATGATAACAAGTTTTGAATTTCTGCGCGTTTCTTCAACTTCAAATAAAGCTTTCTTTTGAAATTAGTGCTATGAAAAAAAAAAAGAACTCTGTTTTCGTTGTATAACGAAAATAACTATTTTTCCACCTTCTCAATTGCTTCTCGTTTTGTCTCCTAAGCAGTTGCAAGAGACTGAACGGTTTAGGCTTTCATCTCCTCGTGTTGTCGAAAGCATCTCCTAAAGCCTTCGCCGTTAAAGTTAAGAACTGGTCTGAATCGTCTCATCGCTTCTTGAAACAGTGCGCAGATGCTGGAAACATCGAAGCCTGTTATACCCTTGGCATGGTCAGTACATTATTACCTAAATTTACAGATGAAAGAAATATGGTATAAATATTTATTTCGTTACTGAGCCTCGCAAATGAATGAATGATCATCTAATTAGTTTTTATTATTGATTGCAGATCCGTTTCTATTGTCTACAGAACCGAGGAAGTGGGGCGTCGCTGATGGCTAAAGCGGCCATCAGCTCGCACGCTCCAGCGCTTTATTCACTCGCCGTCATCCAGTTCAATGGTAGCGGCGGGTCCAAGAACGACAAGGACCTCCGAGCCGGCGTCGCTCTCTGTGCACGAGCAGCTTTCCTCGGCCACATCGATGCCCTCCGGGAACTCGGCCACTGTCTGCAAGATGGCTACGGCGTCCGCCAAAACATCGCCGAGGGGCGCCGATTCCTCGTCCAAGCGAATGCCCGTGAACTAGCATCCGTACTCTCGTCCACCACGTCATCACCGTCGTCGCTCCCCTGGCTGACGTGGCATCCTCAAAACCACCGTCACCAGCATATCACTGGTGCGGGCTGTCCGTTGCTGAGTGACTTCGGGTGCAACGTGCCGGCACCGGAGGCGCACCCGGCAAACCGGTTTCTGGCAGAGTGGTTCGCGTCACGTGGGGTTGTGCCGGGGCAGGGGCTTCGGCTGTGCTCGCATGCCGGTTGTGGCCGGCCGGAGACGAGGCGACATGAATTTCGTCGTTGCTCGGTGTGCGGCACCGTGAACTACTGTTCTCGGGCGTGCCAGGCGCTCGATTGGAAGTTGCGCCATAAGGTGGAGTGCGCACCCATGGAGCGGTGGCTCGGTGGCGATGTCGAAGCCGACGGAGGAATCGTCGAGGTTGACGAGGACGATGCCAACGACAGGAGTTAACGACGAGGTAATAGTGAAAAAGAGTGATAGGGCTTCTTTTGTCTGTGGAATTTATTTAATTTTAATAATTAAGTTAGTTGGTGGAATTTCGCCCTTCTCTTTTTCTATGTTTTTTGTATAGAAACATAGACAGACTATATAGAGGGAGGTTATTTTGGTGGCCCATGGCTGCAACCCGTTCTTTTTTTTTTGTACCATACAATAGATTATTACTCGGCCAAGCTTCATTTCAGAAGAGTAAATTTCTTTGTTCAATAATCAATTTCACCTCTTGTGAGTTTTCGTTTTTATTTATTTATTCCAAAGCAATCAAAACCTGACGCCATTCGTTTTCTGATTCAGGGTTTGTTTGGTTGTTAGCGTTGGGATTAAGTTTAATGTTATATGATTCCACTTTTTGATTTACTAATAAAAGGCTTAAAGCTATCCATCCATCCGGTATCAATGCTGAGAGAGGAGAGGAGAGAGTTGGAGGGTTGGAATAATGAGGTGAGTGGAAAACAAAAGGAGGAATCCGAGGTTTATTATGTGAGATCTTCTCCGCTAGCCATTGGACTCTTTTCTTTTCTTTTATCTCCTCTCACTTATTGAGTTGGATGCTTTGAGCTATCTCTCAGCTCTCTACTATTCAAAAGGATGGAGGAGAGTGGGAGAGGGGATATATAAAACAAAATCAGAGTGAGTGGAAGTTTGCTTTTTGAGACGCTTTATGCCAGTGGTCAGAGTCCAGGGGCCACAAAATGAACATTAGACTACAAGAAAAGAGAAATCCAGATTATAAGAAAAGGGGAACACGCGGATGGAGACACAAAGTTGAGAGGAGTCTGTCCACCAAAAAAGACTACAAAACCACAACGGCATATTTCGTCGCCCAAAAGCTATTTCTGGGTACTAGTGTTTCCGGTTTCCACCACCATGCACCCACTGTTCCATTTCCATCGATCCCCCTTATCCTCATCGATCAGTCCTTACTTCCTTGTAGGCTTCTGAAGATTGCATGCTTACTATCCACGGCCCAAGACAAGTGATGGCCTCAGATTTAATTAATCCTTCCATCTCCACATCCTATCTCATCCATCGCTGCAAGCATTTCAATTATTGTATCAACAGGAGATTGGCAGGGCCATAATGATTTAGCTTGTTTCTAAATCGTGAAAGCTACCATCCTAATATGATTTCTGTTGCCAACATCTTTAAATTCCGACGGCCAACCCAGTTGAGTGATTCAGCTTATGCTTCATTTCTTGCTCGATTTATGGGATTCAACTGTCTAACATTGCTCAAAACCACCTTGATATTGGCAATTCTCCAATCCTTCCTCATTTCTTCTCTTCTGTGTGTTGGAGCTTAGTTCATCATTTTGGAGACCGTATGAATCCGTAAATGCGTCCGTGGGAGGGGGGATATTAGAGAGAGGTCGGAACTCACAAGACAGTAATGATGCGTCCATGGCAAAGAGGATTTTCTCTTGAGCAAGGCAAATGATGGGCTTTTGCTGGCTTGACTAGCTTTAGCCTGTAGCACAAAGAGTGCAAGGAAAGGATGGAGATGGCGATGTCAAGCTGTCAACTGTCAACTCTGGTTCGCTATGAGTTGGGGCTCAACCCGATCCGACCAATCTAATAGAATGACTTTACTGGATCCACCAGACCCTGTGGTCCCATAGCTTTTTCTAACCCAACCCACCCTGCATTGTAAATATACAAAAAAAAAATGAAAATGAAAAAAAACTTAGATGCAATTTATTGTGGTCAAAATTTGATTTGCATTCGAGGTAGGAGGAAAGCGTGCAAAATTTGTGTCAAGTAGAACTACAAATCATAATTATAAATAAATAAATGCAAAAAATTTTATATCTCATTCAAATTTGTACTACAACCAAATACAGTGTTAATTTTAAATGTTTTCTCGACAGATAAAAGGGATTTACATACAACAATATCAATATATCACTGAAATATCTGACTTGATTGGTCAAAAATCTCGGGACGTCTTGCCTCTCCAGATCCAGCAGCATAGATTTTTCGTCATTCGTTGATATCAACAGGCCGGGTTGATAATGTCTTGATCTACCAATAACAAGAAGCTGGCTACAAAACACTACAGCCACACATCAAGAGCATGTTTCCGTTGTGGTCAGTAAATCCAAAGTCCGGTTGATAGAGATCCACCTCAACCCAAGGCTGGGCTGAGTGAGTTTAAATCTTCTACAAACATACACTTCCAATCATGTCCCAACTAGTTATTACAGATGCACATTAATAACATGTCTCATTAAATTTCACATCAGTGATCAGCCCCCCACCCCACCACAAGGGGTTGTCTCACAAAGTTCAATATTCCAGCTATGTATTGGGAACATCTTTTAATGATGTTTCTACCTATCATTGGGAGATCTTCCCAATACACGGCTGGGATGTGTTGTGGAACGTTGTGCGGTGTCCCTTGTGGGCGGCTGATGCCAATTGGTCTCATAACACTCAGGATCTATTACCTACAAGTTGTTCTCACATCATTATCCCATTACCACCGAGTGTTGAGAATATCCTCTATGAATGACAAGGGAGATATTCCCGATGCACAGTTTTAATGTCTTGTGAATAGGGATGTGGGAGTAGCTCATGGAAAGTAGATCCAAGCTGTCTCATAAATGATTTGTTGGGACAACGTTGGAATTACTTTTTTTAGCAGATCCCTACCCAGCTTGACCTTTGATGGAGAAGGCTTATGAATTCCAATGTTACAATGCGAATTGGGATATGCTCTGAGAGAGCACTCCTCACTCCGACCTCACAGCCATATCCCACCGGTGAGACTGGATCTGTTCCTCACACACACACTAGTCTCTGTTACCGAGGTGATAGAAGGGATCCCGAGCTGGATCGTCTCCCCTCACACCGGGCTGCTGGTTGCTAACTTGCCTGTTGTCTTGACGACGGTGCTGTTAATGCTGCTCGTCATGCTGTTCACGACGGTGTTGTTCACTCCACGGCTATTTGCCGTGGTGGTGAGGGACGCCGACCTAATGTTGGGACTCAATATGGCATCGACCCCTGAGGGGGTGACTGGCGTCTATGTTGCTGGTTGAGGTTTTGATGGAGAGGAGGAAATTGGTACTGCTGGTACTATGGCGGGACACTCACTCCGAATCTGTGTTCTCAGGTTTGCATCTGTAACTGCATGACCCGGACACTTCGTACGAGGTCATGGAACTGTCGTGCATCAATCCTAGCATGAACCACAAAGGGTTCTGTGACAAGAAGAGTGGCGCTCACATGAGGCAGAGGTACGTTGACTTGTTGCATTGTGAATCCCGGGTTTTATGCTGTTGATACCCCAGGAAGAGTGAGGGGGATAGTGAACTGTTCGATGGTCACAAAGGGGGTCTCTGGATTAAGTGTAGGCAGGTCCTACCCCCCAGTGATAGTCATCTCAACACTCTTATTGTTGCTTGAGGAAGCCATTAGTGAAATTTGTAGAAATTAAGAAGGGTAGGAACTTAGCTTTATGTCGCGGTTCTCGTAGACGGCATCAATTGATGCTGTGTGATCTAGATTCTCCTAGCTAGAGGGCAGCTCGGACATTAGCTGGCTGATCAAACTACAAGAAGAAAATGCTTAGAGAGCCTGGGGTGGCTTACCCGATGTGGGCACTCCAATGCTTAATTTAGTATTTCGTGCAAGCTGAAAACTTGTATACTACTTGGTTAGTGAGCAATAAATCGCGCATACTTTGTGTCGCTAGGGTTGATGCTCTTGTATAGGTGAGCTGCCGTAGGTCTCACGAAATACCCCTTAGATCATCGGCCCGTGCTGTTAAGAGTTCGTTTCGCACCAGGAGATGGACTTCGTGCTAGCCGATAAAGCTTATCAATTTCATCCAATCCGGGCAGGATAAGGATAAGACCTGCAGACGTGTGGTTTGATACCGAAGAAATTGGAAACAACTGGCTTGCTTTTAGAAGTTGGCTACGTGTCACCTCAGCAGGTCGAGCCATCATGAACTGCTTAAACCTCGGTCCTTGTCAAGGTGCCAGAAGCACCCGAGGTGACCTGGCCTGCTAAGGTAGAAGGAAATGCCGAGTCATCAATCAATCAACAAGTTGCTTCCATATGTCCGTGCATGAATTGGTTGAGCCAAATCACCCCTCGTAAGAATTAAAATGAAGCAATGAAACTTTTATTTTTGTTGGTCTTTTTGTTTCTTCTAGAAATGCCACTGAATTAAGCTATCTTTTATTTTCTTTTGTTACTTTTCCATTGAATCTGAATTATTCACCTGAGTCATAACTAGAATATGCATTAAAATCTAAAGGCAAACAAGAAACATTGTTGCATTTACGAACTTGTAAGATAACATTGAAGGATATGAATATTTTTAACTGTCATGAGTTCTGCTTCATAGTTCATACAGATGAAACGCATTTGCGAGACTTCTATGCAAGAATACGTAAATAGAAAGAAGCGTGATATATATATTAGCATAGAAAGGAAAGGAAAATAGGATAAATACTAAATATTTGATATGGGTGTCTAAAGCGGAAGCTCTACAGTTCCCATTCCCCCCATTATTCAAAAATGGAACAGCAGGACTTGGAATTTCGGTAACATATTAAGCCATTGTTAGGTTCAGAATCTGAACAACAAATTAAATGTACATAGTACAAGTAACCATGTAAACAGCAGTGAAATAGATCCTGCAATGCAGATGCAATTTCATTGGCCTGGGTTCTACTTTTAATTTACCCATGCATATATCTGCTGTCTATTTCAGGACTAGACTAATTAAACCTTCAGAATGTGCAGTGTGCTTTCTTTTATAATCTAGAAAATCAAGCATTTATAACTTATATGCAAACTAAGCATGATGTTCCCTCATGCTGCATTACTATTTATGCAGCTGTTTGCCAATATATGTTTTCTGAGTAACATCGTTATTGGGTTGGCAAGGGATAACCACAAGTAAATAAGATGGCATTTCTGAGGGAGTTTGCTGAGAACTTGATATGGATGATGATGGAGGAACCCTAAGAACGGGATCGGAAGTTCAGGGAGCATTTATATGCTGTTAAGGACCGCTGCAACAAGGTGAAGGAGATGTGGAGTTTACCTCTCCTCCCTTATGGATTCTGGACATTTGAACGCCACAATGCTCAACTCTCATGGGATGCCCAGATCAGTAAGGTCCCTGGCCGTAGGGACCCTTAATATATAACCCTCTTTCAACAGTCATAGGAAAACACCCCACCCAAGTAAATGAACGGTCAGAATCTCAAGGTCCTTAACACAAT